GCAGCATAACCATCCTCCATGGGAGGTGCTTTCTCACTTTCCCTCTGTCTCTCTCTCTCTCTGGTGAGTACATGTGCCCTTTAGCATATTTAAAAAAAAAAAAAAGGTGATAACACATTGTACAACTCTCAAAAGACAGAAGAGTGTTGAGTGAAGTTTGTGTTTCCCCTCAGATCTCCAGCCTTTCAGTTCTTCCCAGAGGCAAGTGTTACCAGTTTCTTACCTATCTTCCTAGAAAATCTATAAGGGGGCGGTGGGGTGGATGGTGGGGCAGTGGGACAGAAAGCTCTGGGAAGCGCGAGTTGCGAGCAGTCCCATTCAGGGATTTCGACCACCAAAGACCCTCTGCCCAGACTTCACCCTCGTGCTCCCCAGTCTAGCCAGGAGTCAGGTTAGAGCACCCTGCTTATTCTCTCTGTACCTTTTCTCACTTTTCTGCTCAGCCTCCACACACTGATTTTCTGGAAAGGTCTACATGCTCAGTAGCCAAATATCTGAATACTTTTAGGGTCAGATTAATCCTCAATTTTCATTGAATCAGTTGTGCAAGGGCGTAAAACAGTACAGTTTACAGACTGTAGGACACCTCCTTCTGCATTCCTCTGATTGCTCAGATTTAACTCCAAAAAATAGGAAAAAAATATATAATCCATCAGCTGACCAGAAACCACTACAGAGGCATAAGGAATATGAGAAACGAAGAAATATTTCTACTCTAATGGAAAAGAATAACTCTTCTTCCTCCACAAAGAATACAAAGGAACTCATGGGAATGTCCGATAAAGAATTTTAAATATTCATAGTGACAAAGCTAACAGAGATATAAGTGAGTAGAGACAACAAACTCCAGAAAATGCAGAAGAGACACTGAGTTCCAGGAGGTGAGGAAATTCTTGCACGATCTGAAAGAGGAAATACGCATCATAAAAAAAAAAAATCAAACGGAATTGTTAGAGATGAAGGCTGTACTACAGGAAATCAAAACCTCCCCTGAAAATATCAAAAGGTTGATTATGCAGAAGATCAAATCTCATACATAGAAGACAGAACCTCTGACCTAGAAAAATTCACCAAAAAGACTGAGAAAAATAACCAAAAAAATGAGAATAACATATGAGTAACACTAGATATCATTAAACGCCCAAACATCCAGATCATTGGTACCCTAGAAGGTGAAGAAACTAACAAGGGCATTGATAATCTATTCCATGAAATCTTGGAAGAAAACTTTTCAAACCTAGAGAGGCACTCAAATATCTAGACCCAAGAAATACAAAGGACCCCACATAGAATTGATACAAGAAGATCTTCCCCGAGGCACATCATAACCAGATTGACCAAAACCACAGAGACAAGATACGAAAATTGGCAAGAGAGAAACGTCAAGTTACTTTCATCGGCTATCTCATAAGGCTAACGTCCGACCTCTCGTCGGAAACAATGCTAGCAAGGAAAGAGGGGGAGTGCTATACTAGGAAAATTAAAGTCGGACACACAGAAATAAGAAAATAAGAAACAACCAAGAGAATGGCCAGCCTAATGGTAGGGACAAGTCCTGAGATGAATGTTAACTTCCAGAGTTTAAATGGAAGATCAGACCACAGTAACACTGCAAATTCAATAGAAGAGAGATTAATGAGGTGAATCTGAACTAGTGAAATAGAATTTTTTACTTTAGACTAAAACATTATTGATTTTCTTTGATGCTTTGATTTCCATATTTAAGGATTTTTGTTTTTTCTTGAACTATTGATAGGTTCATCTTACCTACTATTTGAACTGAATCCTAACTTTTTTCCTGGCTTTAAATTTTAAGCAAATTTCTATGAACATTTTTTGATTTTGATCTATTAAAACTAAAACTTTTTTTGAAATTAAAAAATGCATTAATATCTATTTAATGACTGCAGTAAGCTACATAGCCCCAGCGAGGCGCTACTTTCTAGTATGTTCACTTTATTCACTGAGGTTTACGCCTAAAGTCAGTCATACATTCATAAATATGTATATATCAGCTGTGCTTGATATTGAAAGTCTTTAAATTAATTAAGATCTTTACTGAACCAATGAAATATGAAAAAAAAAAAAGGCATGGAAAACAACTGTACATACCAGAGACACTGTGGGAGAAGGAGGGGATTGGCAGAGGGTGAAAGGTAGAAAATCAAGGAGGAAAGAAAAAAGCAAAATACCGGGACCAGTTGGCGTAATGGCTATGTCGCTGGACTCCAACTGCGGTTCGAGTCCTGGACCTTGTGGCTTAAACTC